AAGTGTTTACAATGCTTAACCTGGTGAAACGTATTTAATTAAACTGATCTGTGCCCATCGGCTCGAACAACACGGGAACCATGGTCTTAAACAAAACCTATATATACTCTCCTTGTTTTTTATCCCTTCAAAGCTTCTTTCCCTAAATCATTCCCTCTCATATCTATATGCTGGTGTTCCCTGAATCATTCTCCTCTTATATCTATATGCTGCCTGGGCCCTCTTCTCAATTGTCTCTTTAGCCCACCTCATACATGCCCTCAGCTTCTTCATTTATCATTATTGTGAAGGGATTCCAAATTTCTATTTCCAGTGCAATCTTCTAGTATGAACCTCTGATCCATACATTCAAGTGTCCATTAATTAAAAGAGTCTTAAAACAGGAATTTTGTCTCTTTTATTCACTGCTGAATGTTAATGTTTAGATAAAATGTAAGACAATGAGGGAATATAATCAACCAATATAACTCAATTTATAATTAAATATTACTTTTACACTAGCCATACAAAAGTAATGAGCAATAATATAAAAATGCTCATTTGGGATGGGTATGGTGGCTCATGCCTTTAATCCCAGCACTTGGGAGGCTGAGGTGGGTGGATCACTTGTGACCACAGCCTGGCCACCATGGTGAAACCCTGTTTCTAATAAAAACACAAAGAGTAGCCAGGCTTGGCATGCACCTGTAAACCCAGCTACTTGGGTGGCTGAGACATGAGAATCACTTGAATCCAGGAAGCAGAGACTGCAGTGAGCTGAGATGGCATCACTGCACTCCAGCCTGGGTGACAGAACAAGGCCCTCTCTCAAAAAATAAATAAGTAAATAAATAAATAAAAATACTCATTTGAACGGGTAAGGAGGCCAAAATGGGTAGATCAACTAAGCTCAGAAGTTAGAGACCAGCCTGGACAACATGGCGAAACCCTGTCTCTACTTAAAAATACAAAAATTAGCTGGGAGTGGTGGCCCAAGCCTATAGTCCCAGCTACTTGGGAAGCTGAGGCAGGAGAATCGCACGAACCTGAGAGGAGGAGGTTGCAGTGAGCCGAGATTGCGCCACTGCATTCCAGCCTGGGTGACAGAGTAAGACTCTGTCTCAGAAAAGAAAGGGTAAGGACATCTCAACATTTAAGGTCTGACTTTAAAAGACAGTTCTGGTGCATACTGACAGAATGATAATGCAAATGTGATTAAATGTGGGAATCTGGGTAAAGGATATAAGCAAATTATGTGTATTATTTTTGCAGCTTTGTGTACATCTAAAATCATTTTACTAGAAAATTAAAAATAAAATGACAATTTTATCTTGAGTAAAGCACCATGCAGTTACATTTGGACACTATATTATTGTTATTTTTACCACAGTATCACTTTGGTGAAAGTGGTTGGCTTGAAAAGGATGCTTTATACCTAAGACCTGAAAGTTTTTTTTTTTTTTGAGACAGAGTTTTGCTCTTGTTACCCAGGCTGGAGTGCAATGGTGCGATCTCAGCTCACCGCAACCTCTGCCTCCTGGTTTCAGGCAATTCTCCTGCCTCAGCCTCCTGAGTAGCTGGGATTACAGGCACGCACCACCATGCCCAGCTAATTTTTTGTAATTTTAGTAGGGACGGGGTTTCACCATGTTGACCAGGATGGTCTCGATCTCTTGACCTCGTGATCCACCCGCCTCGGCCTCCCAAAGTGCTGGGATTACAGGCGTGAGCCACCGCGCTCGGCGACCTGAAAGTTTATAATAAATCATTACTGCAATTGAGACAAACCTTTTTTGTTTCAGTAGTTCTTTTCGTTTTCTGCCTCATACCCACTGTCTGAGAGGTACTTCTTTGTTTTACTCAAGGATAAAGACTCCTAAGATATATGTTATAACTCATAAATTCACACACAGCCTTATAAGAACATTTAAGAAAACTGACTTAGTATGATGATAGTGATCTCTAATAAAGGCATTTATTTTGCAAGATGGGAAACCCAGAGGGATCTGTGATGTAGAAAGATTAAGAAAAGACCTTAGGGCTACAAGAACTCACTTTGATTGAATTGCTGTCCCTGATGAGTTTGTTGATGTCAAAGGCCTCTCCACTAAGCTTCCAAGGGTTATGCTGTAAGACAATCCCTTCTCCTCCACAGCTGTATAAAGCAAGGGAAGGTCTGTCTCCTTCTCCTCCTGTATGAAACAAGAAAAGAAAGCTTATCAGTTTTGTACTTCACCAGCTTAACTATTTGTTGGTATAGCATGACCACATCATACTATGAGATGTTTTAAAGGAATTCTATATTTGAGGCCAGACACGGTGGCTCATGCCTGTAATACCAGCACTTTGGGAGGCCGGTGGGGGTGGATCACCTGAGGTCAGGAGTTTGAGACCAGCCTAGCCAACATGGTAAAACCCCGTCTCTAATAAATATACAAAAATTAGCCAGGCATAATGGCTCACGCCTTTAACCCCCAGCTACGCAGGAGGCTGAGGCAGGAGAATTGACTGAAGCCAGGAGGTGGAAGTTGCAGTGAACTGAGACCATGCCATTGTACTTTAGCCTTGAGACTCTGTCTCAAAAAAAAAAAAAAAAAAAAAAATTATATATTTGAAACATTCTAATACATCGGAATAAATGTATTAGATTCTTTTTTTCCATCTGAACAGTTGTTGAGAGCAGAAGTAAAAAAGGTATACTACTGTAATTCTAGGTTAATTTATATGATGCAACATATTTGCTTTAAACATTTTTCTGGCATTCTTAATAGTAGGGGTCTAAAAGCTGGAATCAGAAAACAAACATATATGTTATTAAAGCAAGGCTTTTGAGAATTTGCTTATTCTTCCAGAAATAAGTACTCTTTGGGAATTATATAGCACAGTAGGACTTTCTATGTCTTATTAAAAGGAGCTGTCATCAAAGCAGTGATTTCCTTAGTATCAGAACAATCCTCTTGTAAATTTTTAAGAAGCAAACAGTGATTCTGGTGGGTTTCTCCAAAAGCAAGTTTTACTTCTACCACTGCTAGATCACAAATCAAATATCTCGTAAATATGTGTTGAATAAATGGACTACAAATTCCAGTGCTACTCAAGTTCTGAAAATTTATACTACTTTCCTATGTAATGCAATTCCTATAGAAATTTACAATTGTTTCATCACAGATGGTTAAGAAAAGCTTATCAGAGACTTTTGATGAATATATTTATTTAAAAAGCTAATAGAAAAGACTCATTACTTTAGGAATAAGAAAAAGAAAGACTCCAGACGTGGTGGTTCATGCCTGTAATCCCAACACTGTGGGAGGCCGAGGCAGGCGGATCACAAGGTGAAGAGATCGAGACTATCCTGGCCAACATGGTGAAACCCTGTTTCTACTAAAAACACAAAAATTAGCTGTGCGTGGTGGTGTATGCCTGTAGTCTCAGTTACTTGGGAGGCTGAGGCAGGAGAATCGCTTGAACTCGGGAGATGGAGGTTGCAGTGAGCTGAGATCACGCCACTGCACTCCAGCCTGGCGACAGAGTGAGACTCCGTCTCAAAAAAAAAAAAAAAAAGACTGATGGGCTAGAAGAGGGAAAGAGGCAGAATGCTGAACAAAGGCAAGAGATCATTTAAGAAACTTTAAGTTTGCTTTTTCGGTGGGTGAAAACAGATATTATTCTGTTGGTATACTGAAGTAACATTTTTATTCTGATAAAATTAAAAAGTGACAGTAAGTTTTAGTGAAGAATATTAGACTGGGTATCAGGACCCAGCATGATAACTATACACACAATGAAAAATTTCAGCTAAAATAAAGAAACAATGCTTTAGTGAGATTGGAGCTTATTATGGGTAAATGTTTTCTCCCAGCAATTGTGATTTATTACCTGCCACTACTGCCTTCATGAACCCCTGGAGACCTAAGTAGTCCACATAAGCAGTCAGTGCACTAGACCAGTTATGACTCTCCATCTTTAATATTTTAGGATTAAACTGAAAGAAAGAGAATATTCTCCTATTTGTTAAAGAATTGCTCAGACACTTACCAAGTGACATCGGGGGTACTGGTGGCCCCCAGGCTAAAGTATATACAGTCTTCTTATGATATGTGCTAGAAATCTGTGGAGGCCTTTAGAAGAGGCGGAGAGAGAACAAACAGAGATTTAAACAAAAAGGCATAGTGAAAAACAGACCACCTTTTTCTAAAAGGTCCCCATTATAAATGTAACTACCAATAATTGGAGAAAAATCATTCAACAATATCTTGCTCCAGATAGTTGATTGTAAAGAAGCAGTTAATCATTATATAATATTTACATTTAAATATTTAAATATCAAATATTTACTATCAAAATGATTAAGTCCCAAACATATTTTATCCCCCTAAAAATGTTACTCTTACCCATCTAGCCAGAACATATATTATCACCACCCAAATGTATTCACTTTATAGTCATGCAAAAGATAAGAAGTCATTTTAGACTTTGTGCCATTAACATCACATTAAACTGAGACAAGGTTTCAGGGTAGAGATATTTTCAGTTTGTGATTGTCTTTTAAAGGCTCACTCTTAAGAGTATTTTCGAAGGTTGCTGTGGTGATAGTGATCAAATGATATTACTGTGGTGTGACATGTTGGTAAAGAATGCTTAACTTTGTAGGGAAAACACCAGGTAGCACTGTTATCGAGTGACTGATTGCGATGGAGTCTTGCTCTGTCACCAGACTGAAGTGCAGTGGCACGATTTCAGCTCACTGCAACTTCCGCCTCCCTGGTTCAAGTGATTCTTCTGCCTCAGTCTCCCGAGTAGCTGGGACTACAGGCGCATGCCACCACACCTGGCTAGTTTTTTGTATTTTAATAGAGATGGGGTTTCACAATGTTGGCTGGGATGGTCTCGAGCTCCTGACCTCGTGATCCTCCTGCCTCAGCCTCCCAAAGTGCTGGGATTACAGACGTAAGCCACTGCACCCGGCCCCTGTTATTTCTTTTAACATAAATTATCATACATTCTTTGTATGATTTTAGAATTCCAGAGCCTATAAATAATTAGTGGCTGACTTACTTCCACTTATCTGATAAAGTTATAGTGATCATTCTAGAGAATGAACCAAAATTTCTAAAATAAATTTATACTTTATAAACAGGCTAATTTATACTTTAGCCTATTTCTAAAATAAACAGAATAAGCAGTTCTGGCAAAATGTCACCTAACAATAGCTCTAGAGCAATACCCACCACTCCCCAACTATTACATGGCTTTTGTACTGTTAGTGTGAATACTCAGCTCATAACAGCCAGGAGATAATAATTTAACAGAATTAGCAATTTCATAATGATACAGGGCTATTTAACAGTTTTAGCTGATTAAAAACAGTGTATTTTAAATAAATCTTTAAAACAGTATTTGTTTTTGAGAGTTAAGGAGAATAGTCAACTGCACATAGGTTCTATGTAAGTACTTCAAGAACTGCATATAAAAAGGACAGCTCTGGCAAGGTGCAGTGGCTCATGCCTGTAATCCCAGCACTTTGGGAGGCCAAGGCGGGCAGATCGCCTGAGGTCGGGAGTTCAACACCAGCATGGCCAAAATGGAGAAACCCCATCTCTACTAAAAAATACAAAATTAGCTGGGCGTGGTGGCACATGCCTGTAATCGCAGCTACTCAGGAGGCTGAGGCAGGAGAGGTGCTTGAATCTGGAAGGTGGAGGTTGCGATGAGGACAGCTCTGCAGTATCATAAATGATTTTCACTCGGAAGTGAATGACCTAAGACAGAGGATGCCCAACCTTTTCTGTAAATATTTTAGGCTTTCTGAGCCACGTGGTCCCTGCCACAACTACTCTACTCTGCTGTGGTGGTACAAAAGCAGCCAGACAGAATGTAAATAAAGGAGTGTAGCCATGTCCCAATAAAACTTTACTTTTAGACACTAAAATCCTAATTTTATTTAATCTTCATATGTCATAAGATATTATTTTGATTTTTCTCCAGCCACTTAAAGAGGTAAAACCATTCCTAATTTGTGGACCATGGTTCATCAATGACTGGTCTAGAATGGTGTTGTCCGATAAGGTAGCCACTAGTCACAGATGGCTCTTGTGCATTTAAAATGGGGCTGGCGTGACCGAGGAACTGAATTTCTAATTTTATTTCATTTTAATAACTTTAAGTATAAATAGCAACACATGGCTACCAAACTGAACAATAGAAGTTTGGATCCTCATCAAGCCTGTAGAGCAGCAGTGTACAACAGACACACAATGTAAGCTATATATATGAACTGTATATGTAACCTAAAGTTTTCTAGTAGCAACATGTAAAAAAAGCAAAAGAAGTGAAATTTCAATAATGTATTTTATTTGACTCAGCACACCGAAAGTATTACTTAAAATGCAATTAAAATAAAATATTTAATGAGATTTAAAAATTCTTTTTTGCCGGGCGCGGTGGCTCATGCCTGTAATCCCAGCACTTTGGGAGGCCGAGGCGGGTGGATCACGAGGTCAAGAGATCGAGACCATCCTGGTCAACACGGTGAAACCCCGTCTCTACTAAAAATACAAAAAATTAGCTGGGCATGGTGGCGCGTGCCTGTAATCCCAGCTACTCAGGAGGCTGAGGCAGGAGAATTGCCTGAACCCAGGAGGCGGAGGTTGCGGTGAGCCAAGATCGCGCCATTGCACTCCAGCCTGGGTAACAGGAGCGAAACTCCGTCTCAAAAAAAAAAAAAAAAATTCTTTTTTTAAAAATATTAAGACTCAGCACTCTGGTGTGTATTTTACACTTACAGCACATCTCAGTTTAGACTTGGCCCCTTTCAAGTGCTCAGTAATCACCTGTGGTTAATGACTACTATAACAGACAGTGTAGCTCTAGACATAACTTCCAATTCGAATGAAATGCAGGCAACATGGAAATATGTTAGACGCTACCACAAGGAGATAACTGACAAGTCCAAAATGTGGAACAGTCTACCAAGCAACTGATTTGTAGTCTTTAAATTGAAAACACAATGTTATGAAAAGGATACAGTGAGGCATTATTCTAGAGCAGGAGTGTCCAATCTTTTGGCTTCCCCTGAGCCACAGTGGAAGCAGAATCACCCATTCCTTACTTGTTGGAGTAGGTGTCATACAATCCTACTTTTCCATCATCAGTTCCAAAAGCTAAGCAACCTTCCTTGGTTGGGTGCCAGCAGAGCTACAAAAAAAAAGAGTTTCCATGTGAGAATATAAGAAATGGGGTATATAGTTAAGGGAATCCTTACATTATCCTTTAAGCATCCAAAGGGAAAACTTTCTTGCTCTAATTTCTTCAATATTTAAAGGAGAAAAAGGAATATTAAAAACAAAGTTAATGTCATCTGTAATCTTTCATCCAAAAACCAACTGCAGATTTTGTATCTCTGTTTCTAGACATTTTTGTGAATGAACTTAGATATACACAATTGAAAAAACCAAATGAAAACCAAATGAAAAATATACACAAATTGAAAAAACCAATTTACATATTTGAAAATAAAAAATATTTACATATTTTCAAATATGTAAATGATGTGCATTATACACTGTCGAGTGGGAATGAAAGATTCCGGAAGAATTTGGAAATACAGTTCTATTAATACTAAATAGTTTACAATATTTGAAAAGATATATCATAAACTGTCTGCAGCGGTTCTCTGGGTTGTGTAAGTAGGGGACTGGAGTGGAGGGTAGGAAAAAAATGTTTGCTTTCTCCTTGTTTGTGTTGTTTGGTTTTCTTTTTAAATCACAAAAATTTACTACTTTTAGATTCAATAGCCAAAAGTATCATTTTAGAGAAAACCAAAAAAATTACACATACTGTTTTGCAACCTGCATTCCATGTTTTATAACTGACATGTCTCATAAATCATTTATAATACTTTTCCACATCAAGGAAGAATCTACATTATCATTTTCAATAATTTGATGCCATTTCAACATGTGGTTATATCATAACTTAATATATTCTCTATGGGTTTGCTTACAGGGTCCTTCTGCTTTCCTAGTTTCAAACTTCATTGATAATACTTTAAAATGTTTTATTCTCAACAGAGCTCATTTAAATGAACAGGCATAAAAGAGAACTATTTGAAAAAAAAATTCAAAACAAGCTCAAAAAAGAAATCCTTACCGCTGTAACCTTGGACTTGACACCTTGCCAAAAGTTTTTCACATCATAGTTGTTCTTTATGGAGAGTGTATTCCATACACGGATCATGCCATCCCCAACACCTATGGCCAAAGAGCCTATGTCCACAGGAGAGAAAGCCAGGCTGTACGCAAACCCACCAAGGGAAGGCAGGGTCCAGCAGCAATCCAGGGTGGCCATGTCCCAACATTTTACCTGCAAAGATTAATGGTAAGAGCCTAAACTTAAAAGAGAACAGAGAAATAGGAAAAAGAAACAGATATGGGATAGGCTCAAAGAGTGGGTAAGGATCTTGCATGTCTTCCAGTAGGAACTAAAGAAAGCACTGCTAAGAAAAAAAAATCAGTAATGCCGGGCGCGGTGGCTCAAGCCTGTAATCCCAGCACTTTGGGAGGCCGAGGCAGGTGGATCACGAGGTCAAGAGATCGAGACCATCCTGGTCAACATGGTGAAACCCCGTCTC